GCTCCCACCGCACCGCCAACCGCCGCCCCCCGCCACTTACGCAGACATTTCTTTCATCGCTTCCTGCGTCTCCCTGTCTTTTCGCTGTGGAGTCCGAGTCCCTCTGTCGGCTTTCCTCCCGTCGCTCCGAGCTCGCTCCGCGCTCTCACTTCCGCGCTCACTACTGCTGAGGCACCCAACCGAGCAGTGAAAACACCACAAAACCGGCTCTATTTATGACAATACAGCGCGGCCGACGCCAATATGGCGGCCCTCTCCCAGCCTGCCTCTCGCCTCCCGTGGCCCCGCCTCCGCCGGCCTGAGCCCGCCCTCGGCCGCGCCTTTTCAGCCTGGGGCGGGGGCGGGGCGGGCTCAGGTGGCCCCGCCCACCGCGGCGGAGCGCTTGCCTCCGGCACGCTGGCCAGGACGCTCGCTGCGCGCGCCTCTCGCACACGCTGCTCGGGCACCGCGCTGGGTGCGCTCCTCTGACGGGTCGCCTGTCTGTCAAGGTAAAACGCTCGGAAAGTAGTTTGCAAACATGTTTTTTTTCACTGAAAGCATATATATATGTATGTACATACATATATATGTACAAGACCTCAGCCTTTCCCGATTTTACCACTAATTTGAAACTCTTCCCACTCTCCCACAGTCAGAGCTAATCCGGCCACTTCTTGTCACCAGAGGGTCAAACTGCAGGAGGGTGAGACTTGGGCACACGTTATTCTAAGGGGTCTTCACTGTCACTGCGATCGTTAAGTGCCACTTCCCTCCCCCGTTCACAACCTTCTGGCGCTTAGCTTGTGGGGGATTGAAAGGAATCGCTACCAGTTTACCATAAGAGAAATGAGAGACGGAATCAAACTCTCACACTTTGGAATGGTGGAAATCATAGTCCATGCGGGGAAGGAAACCGTGGGGAAGCGACCAGCTTAACGATGTTAGAGGTTAGGAGTACTGTCAAATACGAAATCCTTCCCAGGGAACGGGTGCCAAAAGCTGCTTATTCTTGGAATGTGAGTCAGAGGCACAGTAAATGCAGATTGCTTACTGAATTATTCATTTGTTCATTCACAAGTATGTATCGGAAACCTGGTCCGTGCCAGGGACTGTGTTAGGCTTCAGGGATTTACTGGTGCGTAAACCAGATGCACTTTTTGACCTTATCAAGTTCATAGCTTAGTGGAGCAAGCAATCAGATATAAGTGGTATTCTGTTGTAGAGCTTTGTGCTGGGTACCGCAGAAACTTAATTCTTGCCCTCAAGAGTCCACTGTCTGGTAGAAGAGATGTTATATACAAATCATAAAGTATGATGGGTGATATGGATGTGATCAGTAATGACAAGGGAGGCACAGAGGGCCACCTAATCTGGGGGTGTGGGGTAATGGTGGTTTCCTAGAAGAGAGGGTGCTGCTGAAATTAAAAGATTTGGGAATAGAGATCAGATGAGAAGGCAAAGCCTATTCCAGGAGGCATAACATGGGCTTCAGTACAAAGGCAGACTTAAATTTGAATTCTAGTTTTGCTGTTTACTAGTGTGATCTCAAGAACCTAAAAATAAGCTTTTTTTTTTTTTTTGGAGCAAACTGGGGTTTTATCACAAGTCTTCACCTCTGCCAGATTGGCAATCTACCATTCGAAATATACCTTCAGCCAGAGAACCTAAAAGATTTGTTTTTATATTAACCTTAAGAAAACTTTTTCCTTGGATGTTATTTCCCTGCTGAAATGGAAAGACACAGATGGCTTTGCCTTTTATCCATTCAGCATCTTATCCTTGCCTGAGATGCAGACCTGGTACTTGGAGTACAGCAGCCAACTTGTAATCGTGAGGACAAAGCCAGTGGTAAGGGTGGTGAACCCAGGGGATCCAGATGAAACTGAGGTCTTTGAGGACATCATAGAATCACTGCATACCAGCTTTGGACTACTTGCCCCTACTTAGTTAAATCCCGCTTTTACCTGCAACCAAACACAACCCTAGTGAACACTCATGTTTATCATCTTATTGATTTATTGCCATAAATGTTACAGTTTCAACATTTGTTAGAATATTAACCAATTTTGCAACAGCAAAGAAAATACTCATCTGCCAAACAAAGAGAATTATAAGAGAAGTAAAGAAAGTATGGATAGCCCATAGGAATCTGAATTCAAGAATTCAGACATGTAAGAATTAGTGCTTTATTTTCAGAACTTTAATTTTTATTCTAATCTCCACATTGCGATAGAAGACAGATAATCTTAATTTTCTACCCACTCTTCCCTCATTCTTGGGATGGTGCTTAAGGACTTTCAGAGATAGGACAGATTGTACATTTCTGATTCATGGTCACCTTCCTGTCTTCTTTGCATCTAAGTCTGGAGGGTCTCAGCTGCATTTGAGTCAGCCTGGGACTTAGTTAAAGGGCATGTGATTAGCTCAGAGAACCACAGAACTACAGTTTTTGTTTTGTTTTAATATTTTGCAGTGCTAGGGCCAGCCTGGGCTTTATAGAGTTTATCTTAAAAAATTATTGCAAGTGACTGAGGAAAAACCTCTTTACAAATTATTCATTTATCATATTAAGATCTATTAGGCTGTTTACTTGTTTGTAGGACAGGGGCTGTATCAGTCTTGTGTTCTAGTTCATTTTCAGAACTTAGCATAAGTACTCAATAAATATTTGTTGAATGGATTTATTTTTAACTCATTTCTTTTCTAAATATTTTTCTTTATCTCTTCATCTACTTTTTGCCCCTTTTTACTAATATTTGGTGAGTCTGAATGTTATACAGTTATTTCATTGAAGCCTTTTCATCTCTAGACAACATTTCATTAGCTAGAAAATTCCTTTTTTTTTTTTTTGCAGATGTAGCATGGTGTTGTTTTTTATAGCATGATGTTGTTCACACCGGTTTTCAGTAGGTCATTATAGAGGTCATGACTACAATGCATGTGTGTGTGTATTGTTACGAGGGCTTGAAATCAGGGCCTGAGCGAAGTCCCTGAGCTTTTTCACTCAAGATTCACTCTATACCACTTGAGCCACAGCTTTAGTTCTGGCTTTTTGTTGTCTGGTTTAGAACTGAAATCTTCTGATGTCAGGTTCCTGAGTAGTTAGGATTATAGGCATGAGCCACTAGCACCTGTTCACACTTTTTAAAGAATGAATAGGGCTCAGTGGTAGAGCACTTGCCTAATAAGTGAGGCTATGGCTTCTATCCCTAGCACTGTAAAAATACAACAAGCAAACAAAAGAATACTAAAGAATGAATGGAAAAAAATGTAATACTTAGGTACGATCAAAAACTGAAACTAAATCCAAAACATGGAAACCTAATGCTGGGGTTGCCTACAGATTGTGCCTGCTGGGACTAAGGTTTTTCCTTCTATCAGCGGGAAGGATAGTTCTCAAACTTAGCTTCCTGCATGATGGCTTTTTTGTTTGTTTGTTTTTATCCCTAGCAAAAAGGGGCTACAAACGCCTAAATATCCTCAGGTTCTGGGAAACTAGCTTTTCTAGACAAGTCCTATAAAAGCTGGAACCTAAGCTCAGTCACCTTGACTCTAAATAGTTTCTTTGTCCACACACTGATAAATATTTTCTAAAATTTTACTTTAAGAATTTATCTTATAGGGAGTGGAAGCATGTCTCTTCACTGGAACAACTATGAAAGATTCCTTCCTAACTTTGAATAACAACAAATAAGAAAAATATATGATTGAGTTCAGTATCAATGGACACATATCTAGTTTTGCTCAATTGATTTTGAGCAAACAAGAGCTTGGTTGGATGTTGACAGAAACGGATTTGGACCCCTCCCCTCAAAAAACCATATTGTTTTTTGTGGTACTGGGGCTTGAACTCAGGACCTTGCACTTACTAGGTGGGTGCTTTACCACTGAGCCATGCCTCCTCCAACCATATATTTGATAGAAGGATCCAGAAGTAAGGAAGGGGGAAAAGAAAGCTGGCAGTAATGACATACCAGCAATGAAGTTAAAATTATGGAGGAGAATGAGAATGTAATGAAGGAGTTGGAGTCATAGTTGAAGCTCTAATGTGAATAGATTTTTGGGCAAAGGACCCTACTCTTTCAGGTTTTATTCGGTTGTGGTGCCTGAACTCTGGGCCTGGGCGATGTCCCTCAGCTCTTCAGCTCAAGGCTAGCGCTCTACCACTTGAGCCACAGCGCCACTTCCGGCTTTTCTGCTTATGTGGTGCTGAGGAATGGAACCCAGGGCCTCATGCATGCAAGTACTCTACCACTGAGCCACCTTCCCAGCCCCTCAGGTTTTATTCTTGAATGGCTAATTTGTGCTTTATTGCAACCTCAGCTCAGTATTCAGGATGTATGTCAGAAGAGGGAGGGAAACCCAAGCCTTGCAATTTCCTAAAAAGCCTCACAATACTTTCTTTTCTTTTTGATAATATTGGGGTTTGAATTCAGGCCTCCTATTCACTTAGCATTTTTGAACTATACATTCATCTCTACCTTTTTGTATTGGTTTTGGGGTGTGGTGGTTTTTTTGGCGGGGGGGGGAGGTGGGAGATAGAGTCTCACAGACTTTTCAGCCTAAGCTGGCTTCAGTTCACAATCCTCTACATCTCAGCCTATATTATAAGGCATATATTCACTAGTATTATAAAGCAGAGGCACGAGCACCCAGCTCAACCCACTTTCTTTTAACCCACTGTCATATTAGCATCCACCGCTTTGCATTATGAATCTCTAGCACCTTCTAGCTTTGCACCCGTAACTTGTCTTCTCTCAGAAGTTTGCCTTCCATGGTTTATTTTTATTTTGCTAAGTTCCTTCAGCATTGAATTTTAATACAAATGTTTCGGTGTTTCTAATGTGAAATTTTTGTTGCTGATGTAGTTATAGTCAATCCTCCATATCCATAGATTTTACATCTGTGGATTCAACCAACCTGAGATTGAAAATATTCAGTTTGCACTGAACATGTATGGACTCTTTCCTTTGTTGCTATTCCTTACTATTCACGTAGCATCGACATGGTACTGGAGGTTATAAATGATCCTCACATTTTTTAATTATATGGGAGGATGTACATAGATGATGTGGGAATTCTACGCCATTTTATAAAAAGGACTGCAACATCTTTTTTATAATTTTGTCAGCTGTGGAGGAGGGGTTTCTATACCAATCTCTCAATAATGGGGGGGGGACTATTTTATCTGTATGATTTAAAAGGTACAAAGAAGGGGCAAGCTAGGTGCCTGTTCATTTTCCTATATGTAGAACACTGTGTAAA